GGCATCCATGCCATCGAGCTGAATCCCTCCAAGACGCTTCTGGCCACCGGCGGCGAAAACCCCAACAGCCTGGCCATCTACCAGCTGCCCACCCTGGACCCCCTGTGCCTGGGCGACCGCCATGGCCACAAGGACTGGATCTTCGCCGTCGCCTGGCTGAGTGACACCGTAGCCGTGAGCGGCTCCCGCGACGGCACTGTGGCGCTGTGGCGGATGGACCCGGACATGTTCAATGGCAGCATTGCCTGGCACAGCGAGGTGGGTCTCCCCGTATATGCCCACATCCGTCCGAAGGATGTGGAGGCCATACCCAGGGCCAGCACCAACCCCAGTAACCGCAAGGTGCGGGCCCTGGCCTTCAGCGGCAAGAACCAGGAGCTGGGAGCGGTGTCCTTAGACGGCTACTTCCACCTGTGGAAAGCCCGGAGCACACTATCCAGGCTGCTGTCCATCAGGCTGCCCTACTGCCGAGAGAATGTGTGCCTGACCTACTGCGATGAGTTGTCCCTCTACGCTGTGGGCTCCCAGTCCCACGTCTCCTTCCTGGATCCGCGCCAGCGCCAGCAGAACATCCGGCCCCTGTGCTCTCGAGAAGGTGGCACAGGCGTGCGGTCTCTGAGCTTCTACCAGCACATCATCACTGTGGGCACCGGCCATGGCTCCCTGCTCTTCTATGACATCCGGGCCCAGAAGTTCCTGGAGGAGAGGGCCTCTGCCAGTCTGGACTCTACGCCGGGGCCCGCAGGGAGGAAGCTCAAGCTTGCCTGTGGCAGAGGCTGGCTCAACCAGGATGACGTCTGGGTGAACTACTTTGGTGGCATGGAAGAGTTCCCCAATGCGCTCTACACCCACTGCTACAACTGGCCCGAGATGAAGCTCTTTGTGGCTGGGGGGCCTCTCCCTTCAGGCCTCCATGGGAACTACGCAGGCCTCTGGAGTTAAGGATGAACGCCTTGTTCTCAAAGTGCACAGGTTTACCTTTCAGTTCCGCCTAACTTTCCTTCTTCAGGCTGCATTTGTGCTTTTAACTTTGTGTGGCTTTTGTCTTCCAGGTGGAACCAGTCCAACTTACGTGTGCTTCGTGTATTAGGCAGATAAAGAGAGAGCGGGAGCAAGCCAGTGGGAGTGAGAGAGCACAAGTGGTCTTTTCGACAGTCAAAACTTTGGCTTTAAATCTCTCATTCACGTTTCCCAACAGCAGTATATTTTTGCCTTCTCATTCAAAGAGTTTTGGCTAAATCTTAATTGTATTCTGTCTTTCAGTGATTCACATACCCTCCTTCTTTAGGTTGATGCAGTCTTCACTACTATTCAGTACATTAGTTTTATCAATATTGCAATAGTGTTCAGATCTTTTGCACATGTTAGATGTGTGGTGTTTTGGGGAAATGTGTGCTACAAAGCATCTTTGGGGTTGTTTTGAGGAACTACCCATCATTTATAGCCTTACTCTAATTAGAAAATGCACTTCAGGTTCTAGATTGCCACCATTCTAGTGTCGTACACACCATTCTGCAGTGTGATTCATTTGGATATTGGAAACTGAATGTCTATTGTTTGTATATTGTTGATGTGTAAAATGCTTTAAAAATATGTTCTCTTAGTTAGAAATCTTACAATGTTGTTCATACTATTAATCAACAATTTTGGTTATTCAGTAAAACTTTACTATCCTCAGGCCTTCCGTGTTCTTATTTAAAGCCGCTATATTATGGCCTGCTTTTCTATGCTACAGATTTTCAGAACTAATCAATTCTGGTCTATGTATGTGGTAGGGCAATCAAGGAGGTATTTTTTGGGGTATATGGGGTAAACATCTCTTTAAATTCAGGTAGTTATTTACAGTGAAAAGCCAGTTGTGGCAGTTGTGCTCAGAGTAGGTGTTGCTGATTTTTTATTACTGTATACATGGATAATTCTGTATCCAGTATGTGATGTGTTGCAGAAAAATAAATAAAATGTGTTCATCATCTTAGCAATTAAGTGGCAGACTTAAGTTCTTAATACTTCAACATATGCTTTCTTTTTTCACTTTTCTTTCTGAGAACGTATTTATCAAAGTCAAAACTTTCTGAGACAGAAGCTGAATCTGAAGCATTAGCTATGCAGACATTACTTTGTACATCTCTTTTTGAAAATGAAACTTATGCTTACAAGTTAAAAGATTAAACAACATCTTGAATACGTTATGAAAATATACTTGGTGTAAGTTAGGATGGCTAGGTGTTTTTATAAAGTTGACTGAACAAACCATTTTTCATTTATACAAATATACAGGTACTTATAACTACTTACATATAAAATATATTTGTATATCTGTTTGTATATGTTATTTCCCATGTGAGGAGAAAGCATAGATGTATATCATTTTATATCTGCAGCTATTTCTTATATATTGAACCACATATATTAAGACTTGCCACTTGATCTTTATTTGTGTTTTGTTTTATGTTAATTTAAAATAATTTTAATACAAGCACATGATCAAAAAACCATACAGTATAAAAAGTATAGAGTTAAAAGTAAATCTCAAATCCCAGGGTCTCTAGTTTCCAGCCCATAGATTAGCATCAGTATAATTTTTGTATATACACATTTAGATTTTCTCTATATATGTATAAGAACACATGTATGTGTGTATGGAATTTTTATATAAATAATAACACACTGTATGTATCTGTGCTTTTTTAATCACAAAATCTTAGAGATTTTCTCTTATACTTATCTACTTAATTTTATTGCATGCTGTTTTATTGTGTGATTGGAATACACTTGACTTATTCATTACACCTTTGATGATCATTTATGTTGGTTCCGGTTTTCTGTTACTGTAAACTATTCTGCAGTGATTACTTAAATGTATACATCTTTGTGTACAAGCATAAATATATCTGCAGGATAATTCCTAGAAATGGAATTACTGGTTCAATGAGTAAGTTCATTTTATATTAATAGCCATTGCTAAATCACCTTCCAAAGAGTTCTCACCACCTTAACATCCTACAAGTAATGGATGCACACCTGCTTTACCACACCCCTGCCAACAGTGTGTCACCAAACTCTGTGCTCTTTGCCAATCTTACATCTACTTGATCTTGATCCTTTCTTTCTAAGCCACTGTGGCTGAGTTAATTGGATTTGTTGTCAGAGTACCAAGTAGGTTCTGAAACAAAGAACAAGAAAATGAGGGCAAGCAATAAAATTGCTGCCACACTGAAGGAAGAGAGTACCCACCATTCAGGCTCATGTACCTGGAGATGGATTACACACAGCTACCTTCCTTAGATACTTAGCTGGACCTAGTAGGTTTCCCTGGTCTATTGCACCCTGGTTTAAGTTATATCCAATGTATAAGATGTCACTGAACAAAATCCAAGAAAGGAGACCACAAAAGTCTGAACTTAGTGGGGTAGGTGTGGAGAGGGAGAAAGTTATTCAAAACAATGAGGGGAAATAAAAGGAACAAACAGTATTTCAAGTGAAGGATGAGGCAAAAAAAAAATTAGGTGGACTCTCAGGCTCTGACTTGAATATGAATGAATATTGACACCAAATAAAAATAAAGAAAATAGGCATAGATAGTATGGGGAGAGGATGATCAGTTTAACTTGGGACTTACTGAATTTGAGGTACCTCTGTGACATCAGGAGAACATACCCCATGAAGAATTGGCTGTGTATCCCAGGATGCAATTTATCACTTCTGGGAAGGTGAGTGCTATGAAACACTGGGAATCTTGTCCTTTCAGGGAAAAGTAGAACAGAAAAGCATATGAAGGATCTTTAAAACAATGAAAAGAGAGAAAGCCTGCTTCAGTGGCTCACGCCTGTAATCCTAGCATTTTGGGATGCTAAGGTAGGCAGATTGCTTGAGCCCAGGAGTTCTAGAACAGGATGGGGAAAATGGTGAAACCCCATCTCTACAGAAAATACAAAACTTGGCTGGGTGTAGTGGTACGGGCCTGTAGTTTCAGCTCCTTGGGAGGCTGAAGTGGGAGGATGACTTGAGCCCAGGAAGTTAAAGTTGCAGTGAGTAGAGATCATGCCACTGCACCCCATCCTGGGTGACAGAGTGAGAACCTGTCTCAATAAATAAATAAATAAATAAATAAATAAATAAATAAATAAAAAAGGAAAATTTTTAAAAAGCTGGGATGGGGAAGAAAATGGTAGAGAATGATAGAGGCTTATTCTACACAAATGTTGTGACCTTACCATGAGACGACGATATATCTTTTAATACTAAAATTATAATGATTTTGAGTCTCCACCTAAAAGCCATAAAGGGCAGCTTTTCGCCCAGATAAGCCATAAAGGGCAGCTTTTCGCCTAGGACTCCTTAATACTGTCCACATTGGTCCACTAATTAGGCTTTTGAATTGCTCAACTGCTGGTTTCTTCTTGGAGAATGAAAAGTCAGACCTAGCTCACAAAGCAGGGCTTCATTTCTGGACCATTTATTCTCCTACTCTGAGACGTATCCAGTATTCCCAACACCCAACTGGCACCAGCATCCTTGACAGTCTCACAGCAGTGGAATATCACCTCATCAGCAGCTTCTGCTAGCCCCTGTTTAAGTTCTCACTTCAATACCACAAGTGTAGGCCTCTGCCAATTTCCCCAGTCTTGCAAAAAGCAAAGGAGGTGTCCAGAGGAGGATATTGCTTTCCACAGTATTACAATAAAAAAGCACAAATGCAAATTATTAGGAGCGAGAGAGAAGAAATAATTATAAGCACAGATTTCTTTATTAGACAAGTAGATGTAAAATCTGAGTGAAAAAAATCATCAGAAAATACAAATAACTAAACTTCCCAATAAAAAATAAGGAACCAGATCAGACCATTAACTCTAGATATGTGAATATTAGTTTTTTAATGTCTTTTTTATCCAAGAATATCACGCACATAAACAGATAAACACACAGAGTTGATCATTTTATAAGTAAATTATTTCACATTGTCAAAGAATATCTAAGTTTGAGGTGCTTTTGAGCATAAAGAGAAAATAATTTACTCTTCTTTATAGCAGGCCAGCAAAATACTAACAAATTTGAGTAAAATTGCCAAAAATAAAAGGGATTGATTTGACATAGATATATAGATCAATGCAACTTATCCTTTAAAACCACTGAAGGCAATCCATTAGTTCACCAAATCCGTTAGTTCACCAAATTAGTCCATCAAATTCATTAGTTCACAAAATACTACGGCAAAGTAAAGCTAGTTCCTTGAATTCAAGGAGTCTTCACTATTGAAAAATCTATTATTTCAATGTATTATAATAAATCAAATTAGAAGACACACATGCTCATATCACTAAGTTATAATAAATGATTTAATAAAACTCCTCTATTGTTTTGGTAAAATTCTCAGTAAACTATGTGGAAAAATTTTCTTCCTATGGTAAGTGTGTATATGTGTGCGTTTGTGTGTGTGTGTTTTGTGTTTCAAACTTCAACTCAATCCTCAACATCAGAGAAACTCCTGTGAAGGTAAGAAACAAAACAAGGACTCCTAAAATCACAACCAGCATTTAATGTTGTTATAAATTTCCAGATCCAGCAATTAGAAAAAGTAGAAAATATTGGATATAAATACTAGAAAACAGAAAACGGTTATATTTATTTGAAGATGATATATGATGGTAAAAATGATAAATTCTAGAAGAAGCAACTGAAAAAGGTTAGGAAAAATAAAATAGTAGTAAAATGTTCAGTTTTGAGATTAATATATTAAAAAATCAATGCTTTTCTATTTTCACTTCTTTACTCATTCAACAAATGTTTATTGAATGCTTACCATATATCACACATTATTCTAGCTGCTAGATAGAAATGCTGCATAGAACAACACAAGCAAGCCATGTCCTCATAAGGCTTACAGTCCATTGAGGAGAGAGACAATAAACAGATAAACCAACAAGTGTATAGGTTGTAGGACGGTTATCAATGTTAATAAATAAATCAGTTGAAAGAGAATGGGGGTAGAAAATCAGGTGGGGATGAAATTTTAAATAAAGGGGTTAGTGAAAGTCTGTTTAATAAGTTGACGTTTGAGCCGAGATCTGAAGGAAGTGACATAGTAAGTCATGCACCTACATCAGAAAAGAGTGTTCCAGGCGATCAGAAAGAAGTACAGAGGCTTGAGGTGGAACCATGCCTACCATGTTTCAGGAGCAGAAAGGAGACAAGTATGGCTGGAGTAAAATGAATAAAGAAAGGAGTAGGGTCAGGGAGATAATGGGTGACCACATCATATAGAACTCTGTAGACAATTATAAGAACCTTGGATTTTAATCTGAATGTGTTGAAAGTCCAATGAGGGTTTTTGAGAAGCAATTTATTGTTAAAATGAAATCTGGTCGCTCTGTAAAGGAGAAAAGACAGAGAAGGAGGGGGATTCATTAGGAGGTTACTGCAATAATCCAGCGCAACGTTGACAGTGGCTATATGCAACACTAATCAGTTTAAAATGTCAGTGGATCTTGTAATTCAAAATGGCATACATCTCCTTCTTAAGATCTTATGGAAATGACAGTACAGAATAATTAAATTGAATAACTCCATTTCAGTGCTATAAATAAAAAAGGTGCCATAATCAGATCAGAAATTATGACAACATTCTAGAAAACCAGAAAGTAGATAGGATCTCTTTAACAGATAAAGCTGAGTAGATCTCATTCCTTTTTATGTTTTCATAGTATTCCATACTGTACATGTACCACATTTTATTTATTCGGTCTACCATTGATGGACAATCAAATTGATTCCACATCTTTGCTATTGTGAATAGTACTGCAATGAACATATGCATTCATGTGTCTTTATGATAGAATAACTTATATTTCTTTGGTTAAATACTCAGTAGTGGAATTGCTAGATCTAAATAATGAGGACACATGGACAAAAAGAGGGGACCAACAGACACTGAGGTCTACTTGAAGGTGGAGGGTGAGAGAAGAAAGAGATTCAGAAAAAA